TTTTTCCCCGTCAATTTAAGCTTTGAGGATTTTGCATTGAAAGATTTCTTTTTTCCATGCATATTATGCCTGTAAATATGCCGCGGAAGCGGGTAGTTTTGGCGACGGATGGCTGCACAAGTGAAATAAAGAATTAACACAACGAAAGATTAGATGACAATAAGCTAGGTCTCTTGTAAGGGTATACACTAAAATATAATAATTCCATCATAATCACGATAACATGATTCCAACAGATTTTTTAACAGAAAGATTTTTAGAGCTCCAAAATCCACAGCAGTTTCCCAAATTTAACTTTAAAATATCCGCACATTGACAATTGATGTTGACAAAATTAAAAAACACAAAGGAGCGTACAAGTATTTGATACTAAACCAATGGCGCGCTGTTCACGGTAGAGAGCGTAAGATTGCGAAACAAAAATGACATCTGGCTAGTAGAACAGCAATTTTACCAAAACACGTCGTTTGTGGAAAACTCATTTGTGGTCCAGCTGAGTACAGATATAATTAGAATTACACCCTCTCAGTAGGCACGTCTGAGTCAAAACAACTAAATGCACGATATTTAAGAAGTTCTATTAAATAAGGTAAATTTAGCACCCCAACTACTGTAAAAATGAATATGGAGCAAGTAAATTAAGGTGAAGTACTGTGCTATCCCCATCACCTTATGTAACATTAGTATAGCACTATTCGTTTGTATTTAAGCGTCCACAGTGCAAAATCTGTAACAGGGTAACACAAGCGGTTGTGATAACCAGGTTCTCCGGTGTGATATACTTTACAGAGTTCAGTTTCGCTGAACGGCGTTCCTTCTATTGCATACGCTCAGCGATTATACCATACCCTATCGATTATGGTTAGAGGATATCTATCGCATTAGAGTTTTTATAAAGGCGACGTAGTTGTGACGTGGTACACAAGAAGAACTGCGATGATGACTATTTGATTAGTAAGTATTGTAACAAGGATACAGACGTCGGTGAGGTTTACTGTCACTTTAAATGGGTAAATATATTCGTAATTACCAATTATCAGTTTCAGATACGTGTCTTTTAAGACGTCTTGATCGTTAGTGTTAGGGGCCTGTATTAAGGCTAAGTAATCTTGTGCATTAGTGCCACGTGATTCCTTGGAGTCGTAATCCTTTGAACCAGGACTAGAAGCTTAAGAGCTTGTACATACACTTAGAGTTAATTCTCACCTAGTGTTTCAGACTAACGGCTCTTTAAGTTAATACCAGCTTATCTCGATATAATAAATGATTCTACAAGTTCAGAAGTGTTTCTCTGTAAAAGGAGCAAGAAGAGCTTCGCTACAATCTTCTTCGTGATGTATTTTTTTTCTAATATGAGGGTAAATGGATGCTTGTAACTGCGTGTAGAATTGCGATGCTTCGGGGCTCCTCAGTAGGGTATTCTCGTTAGTTCAAGTTCTGGTCAGCTTAAGCAAAAACAAGCCTAACTTACCTGGTCTCACCCACGCGTCACTTCTTCAGGCGACTTCTTGATTAGGTGTACCCTTCATCTATCGCACGAGATAGCACCACGTCTCCGCGCCCTTCTGCGATACGTAGACATCCTCTGCAGGGTGAAGACATATCCTATATATTCTACAGATGCTCGAGAGCGCAATGTCCTATCAACACCTTTTCTTAATCAAGGATCGCAGTGCTGTTCAATTTAAATCTTGTACATATTATTCTAATACATTTACGATACGTTTTGTGGTAGTGATCAATTTAGACACTTCGAATATGTGTGTACATGTCAAAGAATGGGTGGGTCTATAAAACCTCCAATCGATATGATCGGAAATGAGATCATGCAATCTTACTGATTATATTCATTGCAGCAAAATAGTGCTTAAGACCGCTAAGTGAAAGCGTTTGATCAGTCAGTGCTTCAATAGGATTCACCCCTGGCAACTATTAGAAAATAAATTAGCTTGATAGAACTTTTAATTCACAAAACCTTGCATTTAGATACGAAGGATTTATCGTTAAGCTATCTCTAAGATCATGCTATCCGATGTAGCTGATAGTGTTTCTTTTTTAGTTTGTAGCCACCAGCACTAATTATGCGTAAGCCCACACCGTTCTTTGTGACAGGAGGACATTTGGATGTGAAGACACGCCACCTGACGAGAATGGTGGCGAAATTGTGCGGTAGAGAGACAGAGGAGACAGACGTGAAGTCTGAACAGCTCTTGAGATAGTGAAGAGCGACTGTACGCAGCATATAGTGATATTAAGAGTAGATGTGTAAGGATCGCAACCAAACAATACAGAAGTCTGAAAAGCCACATCGACCGGAAACTCGATCTCCCTTTCCACGCGGATGCAGAGCCAACAAGGACAACACCTTTCCTACAGTGTATGCTTTCAATTGTATAGATTATTATACAACGAATAACGATGCCATGGCGTGTGGCCACAGTGAAAAATTAATACACGACACTTCTTGGCGTTTTACCCGTTGCGTGTATTCTTGATTAGGACGACCCAGACAAGCAGACTGATGAATATCCAGTAATTCCATCAACATCAGCTATAGGTTAGATCAAGCTGCTTTTGATCAACATACTTCTACCCCATCTCGATTGATCAATGCAGGTGACGTTTATCGGCAAAAATTAGAGCTTTGTTTGGTACCGGGGGGGGGGGTAACTCTAAATGCACCTGCCTTTATTGCTAATACGTTCACATGATTCGTAGACTAACCATTTTACTTAATTAAGCTATTTTGGCAAATGCTGAGAGGATTCCACTTTTCAACAAGATAACAGCCACAATTTAGCAAGAGAACATCTACAATTAAGCCTCGTTCAAGCCTATCTTTCCGTATTCGTTTGTATATCGTCTACATCAAGATGAGCCATCACATCTTCACCTCGGGCGGTGCAGCTCACGAAGTTGAGCTTTTAGTCTTTCCTTTGACGAGTTCCTTTGATGGTCCTGTTAAGGTTGCTGCATACACCGATGAAGACAAATGATATTGTTAAGTCTTTTGTCCTCGCTCTAACACGGAGTCGTAAAAGCTGTGAAGACTTCCTCTCATTCGGTCCATTTAAAAGCTAAAAGGAATCCGTCCGTAATGTCAAGCGTACGCTAAGCTGCAAGGTTTCACTGTCAGCATTTTCCGCGAAAGATCGCGTTGCATTAAGCACGTTATTCTTCGTTGCCAGCTAAGAAAATTCTATCAATAATTCCACGGGCGGTTGATGTTGTTGCCAGACCGCAGAGCTAAAACTGGTGTGATTTGTGTGGGATCGCCATCACCTTAAACAAGAACTTGTCAAAAATTGACCCCGGTCGACACTAAAACGACTGCTACTTTAGGCACGTCCGACGCATAAACGATATCAAGATCTCAGCGTGCACGACGTGCGACACGAGATGGAGGATATACGAATGCCACTATTGTACAGACGCATCAAATTATAGCTGCTGCGTAATAATGTGTGTTCATATGTGATCGCGAGCCCGAAGGTTGAAGCTATTACTGAGTGTGCGCATATTGAATGCCGATCTTTTATATCGTACTTAACTGTGTGTATGTGTGTCTGCGTGTTTGTGAATAACGCGGATAGGTGTAATCTCACTCGTGCAAAATGCGATCTAGCCTGTCCTCTCATAAGTCGATTAGCATGCTAGGTGTCACCCTATGGTATGGAATGGCATGGAAAACGCGTTATGCAAGCCGTCTTGCCACAAATGTGGCTCAACCTTCCACATGCGTCGGGTTATCTCTCATTCTCTACATTTCTCTCTTCTCTCGGCCAGAGTCTATCAGGCGGCGCGTGCGCTAGAAGCGCCTCAGTTAAGTCCTTCCAGGATGCGCGGTCCTGAACACATAGACGAAGGAGGTGCAGGCCTGGAGCACGTTGAAGGAGGTTTCCTGCGGAAAGTGTTTGAAGTCGGCATCTAGTACCATCGGTAGCGTTAGTCGGCGTCTGCCTCTCCATTTGCCAGCCTCGCTGTACTTGAAGAAGGGTTTCATGAAGCGGTAGGCTGGGATGCCTGCTGGTCTGCAGAGAATGTGGCCAAAAACTCTCCATCGGCTGCGAAGCAAGTGAAAGCGGAGTGGTTCAGTCTTGGTACGGACGTAGAGCTGGTCATTGGAGATCGTTTATGGATGATGGACTCCGATCGCTTTACGGAGTGTCGGCGATGAAACCTTTCGAGGCTGCGTAGCATGGAATTGTTAAGGGCCCAAGTCCCTCAATTGTATAGCATAATCGGCAAGACGTAGCAGTTGTAGAGGCGGAGGCGCGTAGTTCCCGAGGTCTACGATGGCAGGAGCCAAAATTTCCATATGCGGTGGAGCGCGGTGGACGCTTAATTCTTGCGGTGGGAGACGTCTTCTGCGTCGCCGAGGAGAGAACGTAATTTGCGCGTAATGCGCCAGTCTTCATCCTTGGCACGTGTAATCCGGTTGGTCTGCGCTGTGGGGCTGTGGTGTACGATGGTGTGGTCGGTCTTGGACGTGTTCATCTGAAGCGACCAGTTGGCCAGAACAGCAGGGGCTTTAGTCTCGATCAGGGTGCTATTTCAGCGCTCTGGCAGACGAAGTCGGCGTCTTCGGCGTACACGATCATGTCAGCGAGAAGATCGTGAGGTACGTTGAGTTGGCTGGCTAGGTCTCGTAAAGCTGCTTCAGGGTATACAACAAAAAGAACAGGGGACAGTGAGTCACCTTGGGGAGTACCTGTATTGCTCTCGAAGGGCGAAAGCTGGCGATTCCCGAGTCGGAGGTAGAGCATTGTGTCCCGTAGAAGTAGTCGGATCAGTCGAATTTTATCTTCATCAAGAAGTGGCTCGAGCACGGAGATAAGTTTGTCGCGTTTAACGGTGTCAAAAGCATGGGAGAGGTCGATCCCAATAATATGAAATCGTTCTCTGTACCTCTGAGCACGTGCTGCTATCCATCTGTGGGCCCACACTGCATCAGCAGTGCTGCGACTGGGTATGAACCCGCTTTAATGCGGGAATAGGAATTATTCGATCTTGAGGGGGATGCGGCGAATCACCACCAAAGAAATCGCCTTACGGATGCTGTTGAGTAGGATGATGGGTCGAAGGCTGGCGCATTTGCCAGCCGGCTTGTTTGGCTTGGGGAGTCCGGGAAGAATCCCGTCGCCCAGGTGGATGTTGTCTCCTGTGGTGAGTCCGTGATTGATGATGTCGGCGAGGGGTTGAGCTAGTAGCTCTGATCCATACTTGAGTAACTCGGCAGGGGTGGTGTCCGGGCCCGTTGCGCGTCCAGTGCGTAAGCGACGGAACGCGCGTTCGAGCTCAAATGCAGTAATCAAGTTCTTGAGGGGGCGTTGTAGGCCGTCGTCGGCGACGGGCATGCGCGTGGGGTCCGAGAACTATTCTGTGAAATGTTGCTTGATCTTGACACCTTGCTTCGTGAGGGCTAAGAATTAGTTACCTGTAGAGTCACATAACGAAGTCAATGGTAAGCGCGTCGAAAGAGGACGCACATGGCCTCAAACATGTGAGTATAACAGTTTTACTGTTCAAATACGGCGAGTTTCTCGTAGAATGAAAGCTTTAGCGAGAGATTTGCTGCGTGTCTTGATCCGGTGCAAAGTCAATTTCGTTCGATACGTAGTGCCATGACTTCTTGCGTGTGGTCGTTTTAGGTAAGCTGCCGAAGATGACGTTGTTCGTACGAGGGACGAGAAAGCTCGGGATCCTCCTGTTCAAAATGGCGGACCAGCGGCATGTAGCCGACAGAGTCTTCCACAGCCTTGAGTGCAGAGTGAAGCTTAGTTTTCCAGCGTTGATTCGTGGTCGTCCGATGAAGCGAGAGGTCAGCGAGGTTTTCCTCAAGAAGTTGTCAATTAATGTGCGATACTCGCTGTCACGGGCAAGAAGATGTGTCGCCAAGCACGTTTCAGCTGCGCTGCTACGTGCTTGCTCTTGACGTCGGCGGAATCCATGGAGGGCGCGGAGATCGAAGTCAAGCGTGACGAGCTTGTGGTCCGACGGTGTGAGAGTGCCACCACGAAATTGTGCGCTGCTGCATAATTTCTTTGTCCGTTGACTGCAGATGATGTAGTCGATTCGGTTGAAGATGCAGTGGTTCTTGAGTCGAAGCGTCCATGTCGTGATGTTGCGCGCGCCTTTCTGAATGCTGCATTAGCAATGAATAAATTGTTAGCGTCACAGAAAAGAGCGAGTATATGGCCATTGCGGTTCCTCCGGCCACGGCCCTATTGCCAGAGAAATGATTCGGTGTCGCGGCGTTCCCCGATTTTGGCGTAAAAATCACCAAGGATGATAGTCGCGTCGCGTTGGGGGAGCTTAGAGAGCGTTTTATCAGGTCCACGTACAAGCTGTCGATGGATTCTACGGGATACTTACTGTGGGGCGCAAATGCATTAACAGTGTTCACTCTTTGGGCTTTAGGTAGACGTTGTTGGAGGACTCCAACTCGGTCGGACTGGGCCCAGTACTTGTAAAGAAACCTGCGTAAAAGGGGAGACGGCGAAACCAATTCCTTGCTAAAGGTTAGAGCATGGAAGTGCCAAGAGATGATACTTACCCGTCTTCCGTTTGCTTTGGAAGGCAATGCGAGTTTCTTGGATCCCGAGGATGTCGATCTTGTGCCTGGACAGGTCCCGAGGAAGGGTCTCATGCTGCTTGCGCTGGGGACCAATGGATTACGCATTAAACGTACCTAAGCGGAGATGGTGGGACTTTGGGCGGGGCTGCGTGCCTCGTGGCGGCTTGGCTGGCGGCTGGGGGTGAAAGGGGGTAGAGAGAGGTGTGTTGAGGGAGAGACCCGTCAAAGACTGACGGATGCTGTAAAGCACCCGTCGGAAGGCCTGAGCTAGCATCATGCTTGCTCAAGGTTCCCGGGAGGGCGTCACCCCTACCCGACCAGGATGTCACCCTATGGCTAGTTCAATATTGTGATGCACGCACCTGATTGGCTTAAAGTCAATCAAAGATGAATGTGATTGTAACGGGGTGAATCGTTACATAACAATTTATCAGAAATTGTTAATAGAATATAACTATAAGAGTTAGATTCTCAGAATATTATCATAAGGACAAATATTCTGTAGCACTTACGAGTAGTTCCTAATTGGTTGATATAGGCCATTATATCAACCAACGAAGACGCGCCACGACAGACGCACGCAATGAGTGGTGAGCAGATAGTTGATTTACACATTTGTATTTAGACATAGTTAGATGAAGATAAATAGTGATTTATTGCAGACATTAACCATTATAAATACAGTTCTACTTTTTACTTTAACCAAGTACTCGCTTCTTCTTACCGTCTTCCTCTGCACGTACGAGTGTACGTGAAGTTACGAGGCACCGCCTTACTCTGTCATCCGAATAAGTAGCTTGTACTGTCACCAGTACAAGCTTCAGGGTGCCCCGTTACACCTGGTAGCACTTTGTAGTCCGTCCAAGGACCGCGTTCACATCTAACATGAATATGTTGGATGAGGAAGATGACCAAAGCTTTCACGCTACGCGTGACGGCTACTCCCATTTGAGCGATGTCGAATGGGATGCGGTTGGACGAATGGGTTCAACCATGGGCATCCACGCTGTTAGCGTCATGCTAGAGGCTCTCAATAGAGATGCCCCAAATGCTACTATCGCCAAGTTCATTCAAAATGAACTTGACGCAGAACGCGAGAAAGTAGCCTTGCTTCACCAACAAGGTTCTCAACAAGCAGAGTTGTTGAGAGAACAGGGTGCTCAACAGTTTGAACTGTTGAGACAGCAGCAGGCTGCTGGTGGTGGGTCGATGCACTCGCGTCGACCCGAGACTTTGAAGATTGACATCTCTAAGTACAGGGGAGTCGAAGAGGACTCCCTCTTGAGATGGTTCGTCGAATTGGATGACGCCATAAGGGCGCGTCGCATCGACGACGGGGATATGCAAGTTGCATTTGCCCAGTCAAATCTGGCAGGACGTGCCAAGACTTGGGCACTGGGGCTCAAGTTGCACGACCCATATGCGTTTGGGTCGTTAGAAGTCTTCAAGTCGCGGCTCAGACAAACGTTTGAACCGCCTAGAGCTGAGTTCAGAGCTCGAACTGAACTCTTGAAGCTCATACAGGGTAAGCGTAATGTGCACGCTTACGCCCAACATATACGACATCTCACGGGTTGTATAAGTTCCAATCCGGTGGATGAACACACGTTGGTTTCGGTGTTCATGCAGGGTCTTGCGGATGGTCCCGTCAAGACTCACCTGTTCCGGCTTGAACTAGATTCACTAGAACAAGCCATTTCCATTGCGGAGCAGGAAGACTTCAGTCTGATACAGGCTCGCGCCAGCTCGACATCATATCGTCAACCGAGACGATATGACAACGGAGGTCCAGAGCCGATGGAACTCTGTTGTGTAGAAGCGAGAAGGCTCGCTCTACAGGCTACAAGAAGTTGCAGAGATGCAACAGATGTCAAAAGACAGGACACTACGCTTACGAGTGTAGTGCCCCTCGTCCAGTGTCTCGCGACACTGGGCGTAGTGACCGTCCACTCATGAGAAAGGGGCAGGGACGAGGGTCCGCAGTTGGTGCAAAGACGCAACAACGGGATGGACCGTCAAAAAACGGACAGGATCAGTAGGTGCGGAGCACCCTACTGGTCCAGCAACGTCAAGAGAATTTGTAGGCCTCTTGATGAAGGTTGCTCCCAACACGCAAACGTTGTGCGTTGCTGCTCTAGGTAATGAGGTCTCACTCATTACCTTGAAACTCGAAGTGACGAATAAATTGTCCCTTCGAGCTCTAGTCGATTGTGGGGCTTCCAACAACTCTGTGCGACGCCAATCGCTAGAAGATGGTCACTTCAATTACAGTGAATGTGACACACCTCCTACGAGGATGACGGTACGTCTTGCGACAGGCGCATCCGTAACCGTCATGAAGCATATAGTGAAGATCCACTATACGCTAGAAGATACCCAATATGACGATGACTTTATCGTATTGGATTTGGATGACAAATTTGATGTCATCCTTGGAATACCGTGGCTCAGAAGGTACGAACCACGGGTAAACTGGCAACATCGAACAGTAACGATGCCTGCCGCTTGTTCATCAGATGGCCATCTGATGAACGTTTTGGAGCGTCCACAAGCGTGTGGATGTACTACGAGTGAGTGCGATGGCCTCACTTGCGGTACGGTCGTTAGTACGACTGCACAAAACCTTAGTGTAACAAACGGTTACACTTCGGAGCAAAGTTCCGGCGCCTGTGAGGACACACAGGCTGCGCCGAAGGTCCACCACTCGAATAAGTCGGGTGGACTGGGACAAAGATGTATCCCTAGCGGGGAACATCTAGAAGAGAAACAATCGATCGCTCAGGTTAAGCGAAACGATAGTCCTATATCGACTGGTGAGTTTTTCGTAGAGGATCTCGCTGTGGTTGCGCAACCACAGCTAGAGGAAGTAAAGGGAATAAGTCCCGATAATACAAATACGGCGGAAATAAGTTCCCCGAAACCCGCGGGAATAAGTCCCCGGGAAGCCGAAGGAATAAGTACTTCGAGGCCTGAGGGAATAAGTCCCCAGGAACTGACAGAGACATTGAATGTCATAGTCAATAACGGATCAAGTGTAGGCGCTTATACACTTGATCTGATTGCGCCTCCGAAGTTGACTTCGGAGATCACTCAGTTGCCAACGCTCGAACATAAAAGGTTCTTGCGTGATCTGCGTAGTGGCAAAGTCAAGCAGAAGTGCGTACTCGTCGCTGACGACGAGTACGTCGCCGACATAAGGTCAGCAACAGTGTTTACTGAGAACGAGAGAGTTCTCAGTAGTTCATCGATGGACGAGAGTGTCCTAGATGAAAAGACACGAATTGAGCGATTTTACTCCCAATCGTGGGAATCGCTCAAGAAAAACCCTCTCTATGAAGATTTGGTTGAATTCAAGGATGTATTCCCTGAAAATGTTCCGTGCGAATTACCGAAGGATAAAGGTATTCGACACGAGGTCGAGCTTAAACCTGGCTCGAAGTACTGTGTCATGAAGCAGTGGCCACTGCCTCGTGAACAAGTATTTGCGATCGACAAGTTCTTTGCCGATCGTTTAGCTGCGGGTCATGTGAGGGAATCAACTCCCCCACATAGCTCTCCGACCTTCTGTGTGCGAAAAGCAACAGGAGGGTGGCGGATAGTGCATGCATTCAATAAGTCGAATGCTGCAACGGTACCGGCACAGACGCCGATACCGAGGAAGGACGTAATCATTGATGGTATGTCAAAGAGTACCATATTTTCGTCCATGGATTTAATGGATGGCTTCTATCAAATCCTTATGCGAGATCGGGATGTACCCTATATCACAGTGAGCAAGCC